ACTTATTGAATGCTATAACATTCCATACATTTTTGTTAAGTCCATTTCAAATCATTTTCCATTTAGCCATTAACAGTGAAATGGTAGTCTCCCACTCAAAACACACACACGTACAAAAAAAAAAACTAATAATAATAATAAAAAAAAACTCTGTTTTTTTTTGCCCCTCTATCCACCCAACATCACTTAAACAAGTGCACTACTTTCTTGCTATAAAAAGCCCACCATTACGTTTGTCTTTGAGCTCGACATCTGTTGCTTTCTATCTAAATACAAAAATGCAAGGTTATATATTGGATAAATGGCAACCCAGCCAACCACCAACATATGCCATGCCCCTGTGAACAACTCCATGTGGTACTGTCTTCCATCCAAACCCCTTTCTCTCTCTCTCCCTGAAGTCCAAACGACACAATTGAAGACCAAAAACTCTATATCAATCCCATTTCTTACTCACAACTCACATCCATCAATTGCTTTCTATTCCACTCTTATAAAGTTAATTTATCCTCATTGAAGCCATGATAAACTCTAAGAGACTTTTGCAGATGGCTCGAAAATGGCAAAAGCAAGCCCTTAAACAGAGGAGGAGAATCTCCCTCAAGAAAACTCCCACTCAGCGAAGGGTTGGTAGCCGATGAAGGCCACTTTATCATCTATACAGTAGATGGGAGCCGGTTCATGATTCCATTGACTTATCTCAACTGCCCTATTTTTCGAGAGTTGCTATCTATGGCAGAAGAGGAATTCGGATTCATGAGATGTGGTCCTCTGCAAGTGCCATGTGAGGCCTCTGTTATGGAGCACATAGTGTCTCTATTGAGCAAGAATGCTTGTGTGGAGGTGGAGAAGGCATTGGTTACCGTAACATCATGCAGAGAACCTTTGCCTTCCCTTGGCCTGCATAGAATCATCCCGGCCAACATCATACTTTGTGGTTTCTAAGCTCACAATGAAACCTGTCTTTTTTTTTTTTTTGGGTATAAAATTGTACAATTTTTTTTTAATGTAAATAAATTACCCATTCATTTTATATCACCACAATTTTTTTCTTCATTAGTTGCCACTTGTATGTTTCATTTGTTGAATTCAATTTTTGGGGTTGGCTCCCTCTCATTCGAAATCAAAAGAAACCAAGATTGCTATCATAAAAAAACAAAAACCATAACGTAAGTAGTCAGTTCCGTGCTTGAGTGTTTAGTAGATAACATTATATCTTTGATTCAGAGCTGAATAACCCAAATTTTTTTTTTTTTTTTTTTTGACAAAAGTCAGATTGATGAATATTGAGAAGAATGGTATTTTTTTTTTCTTTTTTCTTTTTAAGGTACTTCAGTAGGGATGACGAGCCCCTACTTGTTTTTTAAATCATTAGTGGTTTTTGAATGCTTTAGGTGAGAATAAAAATCTAGACTTTAGCTGGGGCACAAGTGGTGCTACCACCACGACCCCAACCCCAACCCATTCTCAAGAAGAGAAGAACGGTCTAGCTAGAGATATTCTTATATCATATCGGGTGTGGTTTGGCTAGAGACATTCTTATATATCGGGTGTGATTTGCATAAGGTTGCAACCTTAAACAATATGATTAAAGCGCACCTCTAAATTTTATCACAAATGTAATTTTGATAAAAAAAATTTTAGGATGGCTTGATAATCTATTTTCATCTCTAATTATAAACTTTGAATTCTCAAAAAGAAAAAGTTCATATGGAGCTTTGGCTCGAAACAGTAAAGTTAGAGCTCACCTCAAAAATTTCACTAGACGAAGGTTGTTTTGAGCCAAAATATTCTCAAATTGAGCATCTCGACATCAACATGCATGGATAAGAGAAAAAAAATGGATTTCAAGTTTAGGAAATAGTGTATCTTGTAACGCATTTTTGTACCGTCAATTTTCAAGATTTTCAGGTTTTCATAGGTCAGCTTGATCTACACTATTTTAGAAGCTTGAAATTTTATAATTAAAGATGAAATTATATTTTAAGGCTATTACAAAGATTTTCAGTATTAAATCTACATTTCTCGACACTATTTGCAGGTGCGCTTTACTTTGATTGTTTAGAGCCTCGGCTCTATACAAACCGCATCCCTCTAAAAATGGTTCAAATTAAGTAGATCTAGAAACGCATGAAAATCTTGAAAATGGACAATCCAGATAATGTGTTGCATGATACACTATTTCGCGGACTCAAAATCTTTTTTTCTTTTCATATTCATACATCTCGATGTTGAGAAGATCAATTAGAGGGTTTTCCAACATCCAAACATCTTTTTATGATGGATTTTTTAGGTGCATCTTTGATTCTATATTTTAAGGTTGCAACCTTATATAAACTTTTTCCAATATCATAGTCAAGAGAACAAAAAGACATACTTATGTGGGAAAGGGTATTGTACTCTTCATGAGCTTACATAAACCATAGTCATGAGGGTTATCACCATCCATCTAGTGATAGGATGGTATTCAAGGGAGAATGGGATATGATAAACTAAGACATGTCCCAATGGTTGGTAGACGGTGGTACTCTACCCCCCTGACCTTCCTACCATTAATTTGGTAATGAACAGACTATGGAGGTTCCGTAGTCATGAGGATTATACAAACTGGTTTTTTTTTTGACGCATGACCCATGCCATCGATGGTCAGCTCGGTTTAAAACTACATTATTCATAAAAGGCTGCATTTTTTAATGGAATATTTCAAAAGACGTGATTTAAACTATCTTTTAAAAAGAGAAATCTATGGATATATTCTCTCATTTTATTGTTATTTAAAAATTCTATCTACGTACATACCCTTTTTATTTATTTCTTTTTTAAATTCCCAGCTTGCCACTGCTTCATTTCTTTACACAGATTTGTATAAATAAAGAGATTTACGCATACATAGATGTTATCTAATATTTTCTATATCTTTAATCTTTGATGGGATAAGGTTTAGAAAACTGGAGGATAAGGTTCTAGCATCATCATTTGAATCATGATGGCTGATCTAAAGTTTGAATGATTTATTCATTAAGGTCATAGCCAAGGGTTTCTCATGCTTCAAAGATTTGAGATAGACCATTGATCCCTTACACCATTGGAAGATGAGACTCGGTGTTGGGTGTACTGAGTTCGGTTGATGTAATCTTCCCGCATGTTGTTCTATGGTTTGCAGTATTTTATTTCTTATGTTTCCATATCCCCATAAGCATTGTATTGGTTTTATTCATTGAATAAAAGAATTTGTAATTAGTGGTAACAATTAAGAACCACTTTTGGTTATTTATTTGTTTATTTTAAGTGAGTTTTGTTGTTCTTGGACCATTAATAACTGTTCTAGTAGGTGATAGAAAAAAAATAAATTAAAATTTATATATATCGTCATATGATTAGTGAGTTAGCTTCATTTGGTGAATACAATTTTCCTAATTCAAAAAGATTCCCAATACTATTGATACTAACTTCCTATTTCGTCTATTACCATTCTCTCAATGAAATGACTGGGCAACTGAGGCAAAGGCCTATAGCTTGGTGGCAGGTCCTAAGCAATGCAAGCTCTAGGCTACGAAGATCAATAGTTGAGCGAAGCCGAGCCCTCAACTCCAGCATATTCACAAATGGGCAAGCTTTCTATGCTTCTTGCATAAAATTTATATACTTCTCCTTATCCAACCGTTCATTCTGAATGAAGGGTTAAGATTGCTCCAATCACAATGTCATGTCTCTACACTATTTTATTTTTAATTTTTTTATAAACTATTTTGACACCAAATTTTGGACGTCCAATCATCTATTAAACTCGTACTAGTGAAAAATATAAAATCAATATTTCCAATAAAATAAAATAACTAAAATACCCCTGAAACTTTCAAGGTCATTTTGGTCATTATATTTATCAAAAAATATTTTTAATATTTTTAATAGGTGCGCCCCAATGAGAAGATAACATGTAAAAAATTTCATTTTTATACAATTTGTATAAAAAAAACTAAAAACAAAATACTTTGAGACATCAGATTTATGATCAAACGATGAGTAGCTCTCTTGATCAAAATTGGACAGCTGGATAGTAGGGGAAGCATATATCTTCTATGCTATAGGGGAAGTATAGAAACCTTTCCCTTCACAAATAAAGGGCCAGATGTTTCAAACATGAGACCACATGATGGCAAACTGACACTTAAATGTAGGACATTCTGATGTTTTAAATGTCGGATTGCCTTAGAAAAGGGGCGTTTCAATGTTTTTGACATCAGACCCCCCATAATGTTCAGATATAAAACAATAACATTAATATGTGGTCTGATGTACGAAACATGAGTGTGAGGGTAAAGTGGTAAAAAAAAATAAAAAAAACATAAATATCACATATTTTCAGACTAGACCTTTATTACAATAATTTTATATGGTATAGACGTATTTTAACGTATTTTTTTTCAAGAAAGGAGTACCCTTAGAAATCTAATGAACATCGTCACTAGGATGAGGTGGTACGTAGAATATAACAAGGTTGATGCACTGCATTATGGTCATGTAACATCCACTTTGTATGTCCTATGCCTCGAGTTACTCATCATCATCCAAACCTTATCCCAACTATTGACGGTCGGCTATGCCTTGATTGATCATGTGGCATATATTTTCACTGCAGACACCCGTACGACCAACATAATCATAGGGCCCAAGACATAATAAGGAAAGAAATATAAGAGAAGATGGACACATGATTTTCTCACACTTATGGCAACTACCAACATATGCTGACCCACTGTAGACCCAACTTCACATGCCTATGCACTACTCCATCTCTACACACAAAGGACCCACTGTAGACCCAACTTCAAGTGCCTCTGCACTACTCTCTCTCTCTCCACACACAAGGCACAACGGTTAGGACTTTCAAGTTCTATATAAACCCTTAACTCACTACCAATCCTACCAAGTAATTTTTTCTTTTCTATATTCTCTTGCATACAAAGTTGAGTTCATCTAACCTATAAACCCAAGCCAAGATGATTAACGCTAAGAAGCTCTTGGAGATGACCCCTAAATGGCAGAGGCAGTCCTCTCATGGGAGGCGACAACAATGGAAGTCGGATCCAGAGGAGGTACTGGCCGATTTGGGTCACTTTGTCATTTATACAATAGATGAAGGCCGATTCATGATCCCGTTGGCCTATTTGAACCGTCCAATCTTCAGGGAGTTACTTTTGACGGCCGAAGAAGAGTTTGGATTCACAAGATGCGGTCCACTAAAGGTTCCTTGCGAGGCGTTTGTTATGGAGTACATAATTTCCCTATTGAACAGAAATCCCCCAATTGAAGTGGAGAAGGCATTGATTTCTGTAACCACTTGCAGAGCCTCAATACCTTCTCTTGCCCTTCTTCAAACTGCCCCTGATCATAGCATTCACCCAAGCTTTTGAGTTTGTTAAGTGGACATTGACCCCCAAATATCTTCATTTAATTTCAACTCTGAGGTGGAAAAACTCACCCCTTTGGTATAGATACACAATTTTGTTTCAATATCAATTTAACTCAATTCTTTTTTATCATCAATTTGGCTCTCCATGTGTTGTTTTCCTATTTTCTAATCCCAAAAATGAATTATGGCATTTTGAAATGTCATCACACAAAGTTAACTAAAGGCAAGAGAGCTAAATGGGTAGAAGGGTCACTTAAGTCAGGTAGTGATCTATTTAAGGCGCGATTGATGTATGCACAGAGGGGAGGCATTGAATATATTGAGAACTGCTATTCTATTGTGAACCATACAACTATTAGTGTATTATTAGCCATGGTTGCGTTGTTCGATTCATATTTGAAGTAGCTCAATGTTAGGTACCATTTTATCTGTGAAATAATAGCTAAGGTGATATCTTGTTCTTGAATATCGATATGAAGAAGAATGTTGTGATTATACTCATGGACAGATTCAATACAGAAGTTCTAGTACAAGTTGTACTTGAACTTGATTAATATATTGCCCAGTTGAGCTTTTGTGGAATGTCATTTGGATTTCAAGCCACAGATATTTTTTTGACTTTGTCTCCAACTCTAAGGCGAAGTCACATGAATCTTTGGGTTTTGTGTGGATATGAATCGTCAATTTTAGGAGGAAGTATTCTCAATTTACCAAGAGGGTAAGAGGTTATATGCTTTAGTTTATCTTTGGATAAAGAAGATAGAGTGTATATAGAGAAACCTCGGGTGTAGAGAAAGTGTAAAAAAGCATTATAATAGATTGAATTCGTATCTCTTGTTATCTTGGGTAAGAGCTTTCTTGTATTCTTTTCTTTTCGCTGCTTAATTAAGAATAATCAATCGCATTTGCATATGGATGTAGTCCAATATACGACAAAGCATGTGAAATCTTAGTGTTCTTCTTTGCATTATTTATTTCTTTGATTGCTTTTCTTGTTTAATGCTTGCTCAAGGCCACCTATATTTTTCTCACTCTTTACTCTGTAAGAATTCAAGAGATCGAGTTTTAGAGCATATGTACATTATTTTTGTGCCATACAGTTTTCCCACATATGTAGAATAATAATCCCCTGTTTGCTCCACTGAAAACAATGTGGTAATATAGTATTTAAATATTCCATTATCATAAGGTACAAAATGAGCTTGGTCACTTAATAAATCAAGGTTTTGACCAATTCGTTACCTTTTCCTATTTTTGCATGAGATTCAACTAAAGTTTGGAAGCATAAAAAATAAAAACATGCATATCTTGATTTCTGGAGATCTCTTTCTTCTTCTAACTCATAATTGCAAAAAAAGATTCAGTTTCTATAAGGCTGAGGCCTTATGAAAGAAAGGCAAAGCCTCACCTTGGAACCTTGACTAGGACATATATTGGGCATGGGGAATCTTTAGATCTCTCTAAAATCAATTTCCACTATCAATTATGCAATTTGTAGCCTAAAAATTAATACTGATCATGCGAATTTGTGAACAATTAAAAATGGACGGCCTAGATAATGCGCTACATTATAAGCTAGTTTTAGGGCCTGAAATCCTTTTTTTTTTTTTCACAATCACAATTGCTAGGGTCGAGATGATGGATTTGAAAGTTTTCTGACAACAAAACTGCCATTATCGATGACTTTTGGGGTGAGGCTTTACTTTTTTTCATAAAGCATAGGCCTTATTTTAATATTTTCCTTGTAAAAAGAACAATAATAGATCACACATCTTTCTATCAAGCTATTGACATTCCATAGTTGCCAGTGAAATTCATTAATACAAATTTCCAAGAGTCAAAATTATATAATGGTAGTGGCTAAATTCAAAAATAGATTTCTTCCCTTCTTGTATTCAAGAATGAAAGTCCACAATATCTAAATTGAAGTACTTCATGTGTCAAATTTAAGAGGCTAAGAAATATAATCATATTCCCATTCAATAGATATCTTTTGTTTTCTTGATGGTACATAAATAAGACGATGGGCCAGTAGGCCCCTGTTTTAGGTGACTTACTAGCCATTATTCAATTCCATAGTCTTGTTTCAGTGTGCTCTCTGTCCCCACAAAGATACGCTTTCATTCATTTTGTAGAGAAAGTATATAGCATAAAATTTTACTTGTAGTACACGGATTTTGAATCATCCTAGGGCCCTAGATGTGAAAAGTGGAATCTAACTGCTAGGGGTGTGCTTTAATGGATTCAATATCTTGAAAATCTTTTTATCATACTTTACCACACACATGAAGTAATTTTACATATGATAGCTAAGGGTAATTGTCATTTAATAAGAAATATAAGAGTTTTTGTAGTACCGATGATATGATGTATGTGCTTGAAGGGAGCACACAAATAACCGCCAAACAGTTATTTATTTATTTATTAAATGATCATATTTACCAACATCCAAATATCTTTTTATGATGAATTTTTTAGGTACATCTTTGACTCTACATTTTAATGTTGCATCTTATATAAACTTTTTCCATATCATAATGACGTCAAGAGACGAAAAAAGAAATTTCATGAGCTCACATAAACCATAGTCATGAGGGTTATCACTATCCAACTAACGATATGATGGTATTCAAGGGAGAATGGGATATGATAAACTAAGGCATGTCCCAATAGTTGGTAGACGGTGGTACTCTACCCCCCTGACCTTCCTACCATTAATTTGGGGATGAACAGACTATGGAGGTTTCGTAGTCATGAGGATTATACTCATTGGTTACCTTTTTTTTGACGCATGGGTGAACATAACACACCATGATTCATGTCACCTATTGTCAGCTCGGTTTGAAACTACATTATTTATAAAAGGCCGCATTTTTCAATGGAATGTTTCAAAAGACGAGATTTAACATATTTTTAAAAAAGAGAAATCTATGTATATATCTTCCCATTTTATTGTTATTTGAAACTTCCATCATATTTTTGTATATTGCGCACATACCCTTTCCTTTTTCCTTTTGTTTTAATTCTCTGCTTGTCACCGTTTCATATCTTCACACAGTGGATTTGTATAAATAAAGAGATTTATGATATTATCTAATATTTTCTATATCTTTAATCTTTGATGGCATAATTTATGATATTATCTAATATTTTCTATATCTTTAATCTTTCATAAGATAAGATTTAAGGAACTAGAGGATAAAGTTCTAGCATCATCATTTGAATCATGATGGCTGATTTAAAGTTTGAATGATCTATTAATTAAGCTCATAGCCAAGGCTTTCCCATGCTTCAAAGATCTGAGATAGACCATTGATCCCCTGCGCTATTGGAAGAAGAGAGTCGGTGTGGGGTGTACTGAGTTCGGTTGAGGTAATCTTCCCGTATGTTGCTTTGTAGTTTGTGGTATTTTATTTATTATGCTTCCTTATCCCCATAAGCATTGTGTTAGTTTTATTCATTGAATAAAAAAATTGTAATTAGTGGCAACAAATGAGAACCACTTTTGGTTATTTATTTGTTTATTTCAAGTGAATTTTATTGCACTTAGACCTTTGTAAGTGTTCTAATCGGTGAGAAAAAGAAAAATTAAAATCTAGAGAAATTATTAGAAATATACCTTAATTTTAGCTTAATTGAAAAAAAAAAACCCCAACTTTCGTAAACCTCGTCTACATCATTTTTGTTTATTTTTGGTTGTTTTCTTCTTCTTCTTTTTTTACCAAAATAACATTCATGATAGTCGTACTATCGTGAAGAACGTTACGGTATTTTAAGTACTGTAATGTTTAGAGCATTTTATACGGTAATTTAAGTACCGTATAAAATGCGCTGGTACGTAATGTTTAGCGCATTTTATACGGTACTTTAAGTACCAAAATGTTTCCATTTTATACTGTACTTTAACTACTGTAATATTTAACGCATTTTGTACAACACTTTTAATACGGTAATATCTTCGATTATTGTACTCGAACATTTAAAAATAACCAGCAACTCGGTCCTTCAATATTAGACATGTAATTCTTAACCTCCCTCTCTCTCTCTAACAAACAAATCAACTCACAACCAGAACAAGCTCTCTCTCTCTAACAAACAAATCAACTCAACCTTGATTCCTTCGTTAAGGTTCACCCACTTTTTATTTCCTTCAGCTCTTCAATTTCTAAACCTCCGTTCTCTCTCTCTCTTGGCTTGAGACGAGGTCTCTCTTATATGTGCTCAAGAGCTTCGACAATGGAGGTGATTTCCTATTTTCACCATTTTGAGCAAAATCCAAGTCAAAGAAGCCCTAATTTTCACCATTATTCGGCAAATAGAAGGACACCAAGACAACAAATTTCAACCACACCCACCATTTATCCATATTTGTTGGGTTTATATGGCCTTTAAAGGCTTTATGAGTGCGTAATGAAAAACATTTACTATAGTAGAACATAAACTCAGTGGGAGTGTGGTCCCTCGAGGACCATATTAAGGAAATGATATTTACGAATAACGGACTGTGCTTGACGATCTAGGCTAGTACCTGGGCATAAAAAATAAACCAAAAAAGGTTTTTGGGTTAGCCGTTGATGAGGTCGGAGCTTTGGCCTAGATGAGTGAGCCAAGGGATTGTGTGACCCTTGTGTATGATGGTAGGCCAACAGAGACGGGTCCAAAACCTCATTCATGTTCCATCACACGGCATGCATACAGATAGATCGTTCGGGAAAGCTTGATATCTACCTTTGAGTGAAGCATATGCATGTGAGAGAGATACCCCTATGTGTCATAGAGTTGTGACCGTATCAGGTCGTGGTGACGTTGACTTGTCTCTAGGGGAGGATCTGTAATCCACAAATCGGGACTGTGATTCCTTGGCTCATCAACCAGACTTTGGTGATCTGCTAATAAGCCTCTACTTGGACTGTGGGTCATGGAAAACACTAGGTCGGTTCGATAAAGCACGTGTGGTCTGTAGTCCACAGTTGAAGCTGGAGTATCTCGTGATCGTTAATT